GATGTAATTAACTATAGGGGCTTGCCTCTATAGGGAACTTGGAACCCAGGTAAAATAAACCCTATTTAATCTTTGTATTAAATAGGGGAACTTGTCGGTCATATATAAAAGGTTCGCAGACTAAACGGATGTCACAAATCTTTTAGTTTGCAGGATTGGGTCTATCGCCGAGGTCTACACTTATCTCTCGAGAAGGTGTAGTATTCGCGGTATCAGGCACGATTATGCAAACTATCAGACTAATGAGATCCATTTGGTCTCATTTTTCAAAAATTAAAACATACTACTTTTAAAACTCAAACTATATATCTTTTATACTTAAATTAAATCTCAAAAATTATTTTCATATACCATATTTTCATAATTAATCAATCGAAAAAAAAGTTGACCGACAATTACTTCTCAAACAATAAGCTCGATTGAAACCCTTATATCGCACACAAGAACTAAGATTTGTTGATTACTACTTCATAGAATACATCAATGTAAAGTGGCCATGTTAATTTCATGTTTCATTCATATTCCTAATTGCACTTCTCAGATTGATGCTCCGCCCACAATCTATAATTACCAACCACTCAAGATATCAATATAATTGTATCAAGATTCTGAAAGTGGCAGAAATAAAGAACTAGCATACAAAAGATATACAAGCCAAAATTTTGATGCGTCTCTTATTTGATAAAACTTGATTCAAGCCATTAAGAACCAAACTAATATGCTAGTGAAATTTCTTATTATACTCAAAAGGCAGTTAAATAAAGATGTATTACGTGGATTTTGTAGTGAATGCAATATAAATAAAGCCCATAAAGAATTAAACAAAAGAAATAAATTCAATCGCCAAAACATAGAGAAGAAAGCTCATAGAACCATGCAACGCAAACAGTCACAGGTAAGAGTTTCTGCTCCCCAACAGACATGAATTCAAAAAACACAAATAAATATTTACTGAGAGATTACTTGCTCGGATGTAGCCATTGACCCATGACAAGTGAGGACCAAAACCCTATTTGGATCACCTAACAAAGGATGAGCCTTCAGTTGGTCCCTCAAGCAACTAATATCATCCCAGCCAGTCATGAAAACTAAAACAGCACCAGGTCGCTCCTTTCGACAAATATGACACAACACAGCTTCAATGAGATTAAACCCGATGCAATCAGGAGTCCAATTGGCCAAGGAATCACGTGCCCTGGCACTATAAGTTTCATAGTTTGAGTTCTTTTGAACATCCTGTGCAAAAAATAGCATGCAAACCTCGTAAATTTAAACTTCAAAAAGATGAAATAAGTTAGCATTAAACATTTATATGAAAGAAATTATACCTCAACTAGCGTGGTGATCTGAGTCTTTCTCTTCCTAGGAAGCAGCTGCCTTTGTGTTTTCCATAACTTATCTTGTCCAAAGTCATCGACTTGATTAAATGAAGTTAACTTATATCCAGTATTTTCCAAAATATCCTCAAGAAAGTGCGCACTAACTGGATATGTAAAGCCCTGCAGTAAACAACCAAAAAAAAAGTATGTGGCTTAATATCACATCAACCAATTGTGGCCATTGATTAAGCAGCATAGGAAATAATACTTATTTTAAGCATTATATTATTCTTATAAACTTTACTCCCATGACGAGTAAAATGAATGCAATAACCAATGTTAATGTCCAAGTCTATCAAAGCATCATTATAAAACCACAACTTCAATCACTACTCATGACGAACAATAACTGCAGTCGATCTATTGGAGGACCTTGATGTATGTGCATGTGATTGATGTCTTTTTTTTCAAGTCTGAAATGATAAGTTTCTCCAATTTTAGTGTCTAACATAAATACATCCAAAAGTTGTAAGAACCCTACCAAATACAATATTTTCAGCTCTATCATTTGTCAACTTCCTATATCGCCCCTTTCTTTTATTCCATGGCCATTTTAAATTTTTAAAACTATGTGAGTGTCTTTATGAATGCTCTGAAATCTAAAACCATGTTGAAATTCATGCTCTTAGGTATTAATATTTATTTTGATTTATAGATAAGGATGATTTTATGGAATATTGGTAGTTGGAAAATTACAATCTAATTTCTCCCAATTTCATGATTGTTCATTGTGATGAATGCTAAATTTTATGTTTTCTAATAAGTAGTTTAGTTTATAAATGCGGTTGGTTTTATAAAATATTACTTATTGGAATCAAGTCATAGCTCAATTTCTTCTGATTCCATGATCGTTCTTTGTGATAAATGTTAAATTTTATTTTTCTAACCTGCAGAACAATTTACAGTGTATGCTAATCACCTTCTAAGGCAAGATAAGACCAAGCCTTAACCTAAACATTTTCTTATCCATACTATAGTGTCCAAGTTCATTCAAGTATGTTTATATCATTCCAGCCTCTAAAAACTGCAAGCATGCACCAACATCAAAGTTTATTTATGTCTCTTATTCATTCCATTAGACCATCCAACATCAAAATGGCATCAGAGCCAAGTTGTAGACCTAAGTAACTAGCATTGTATTATGTATTGAAATAGAATGACCAAAAACCCAAAGGATAAACTCCTCCATACCTTGGTTAAGCATTTAGAGTTGATGTACCATGAGAATCAAGCACTTCATTAAAAGGGTAAACATTTTGAGAAGTGGGAAAGAAAACTAATGGGGTATCTAACATGGCTATTGTTATTGCGGATACTTTGGATCAAAATTCAAGTTAAATTACTTAATACATTGGTGATGGTGATCTCCTCCATGATGAACCAATACAAAAGTACATATTGATGATGATCCTATTATAGTTCCACCTTTCATTGATTCTAATGTCTTATCTCAAGTGATCCACGAATCAAGATTATTCCAATGGTTCACTGACTTTACAAAGCATTACTTTCAGCCTATAGGAGATTGGTATGCTAAGGACCACTATGATCATTGCCTTCACAAAGATTGTTAGTGTGAAGATAGACAATCCAGAACTCCTGACCCAAGACAATGGGGTCAAGAAGAGTCTCTATTGTACTCCTAAGAATCCTCATAGTGCATATGACCATCCTCAACTTCAAGAACATGACTTTTAAGGATGTCACTTAAAAAGTCAAAAATTTACGCACTTCTTACAATTGGAGGCTTGACCCAAAGTCCTTAATTGGTTTACTAACATGGAGTACTACTTCAACAAATATGATATATTCGATACAAGGTGGTTAAATTTGTCAATATAAAATTGTTGTGTAGAGCATAGATAATAATAACAGAGTTATGATTTAGACTCGACTTGGGAGAACATAAAAAATTATAAAAGAGAGGTCTCTCGCTATGCCATACTTGGATAAGCTAAAGAATGGGGATATTATTCTATACCGGGGGTTGATGCTGATGGCTAAGTATATGGTGTGCTTCAAGGAGATGATGAGTCAAAGAACATATACAAGAACCCCAAGGTTACCTTATCCTAGTTCTGAACTACTTGTGACTCGAGATTACAAAGTATATGTTGATTTGTCTAGACTACGCCATTGAGTTCAAACAAAATCTGAACAGAGCTATAATTAGACAGTTTGGCATGCAGGTTAGGGAGACCACTCCCAGAGGTCCATGACGTATCCAACCCAGCCCTTGTGTTCAATAAGTTCTTAGCTCTACTATTGCAATGAAAAAGGTTTAGTCACAACTTCATGATAGGGGCAAGATGGAAAAAAAAAATGTATACCACAAATGCAAGAAGCTCGATCATATTACTTTGAGTTGTCCAACATTGAATTGTGGAGCATTTATAATTGCATATGAAGCACAAAAAGAGAGTTAAGTATGATAAGGCATATGAGGAAATAGTTGAAGATAATGATCAACTATATAACCTAAGATTAAAAGCTAATGATGTTGAAGATGTGTTAGACAACCCTCCACTTCCAATAATAACATATGCCCTAGCTTCACCTAGGACTGCCACCAGCTAGCTTAGGCCTTCAAATTTCCACGCTTAACCTTAAGAGTGGGAATAAATTATACAAGCTCATAATTGATGGTAGAAGGTGCATAAATATAGCCTCAAAATCAACTTATGATAGGATGAGCTTGGTTTCTGAGAATTATACTTAGGCATATAAAGTTGCATGGGTAAACAATACTTTAATGTTGATCGCAAAGAAATGTTTGGCCCTCCTCATTTTTCTTCAAATTCAAATTATATCTAATGCGATGTATTGCTTATGGATGTGGCATGTGCCCTCTTAAGGAGCTTGGGCTATATGATCTTGACATGATTTTCTATGAAAGCGAGCAAAAGAAAATCTTAAATCTTTATCGGCCTTGTGAGCCATAGTCAAACCATCATGCCAAGAGGAATTTGAATTATCAGAAAACATTTTAAAGGCATCAATGCACAGTGTAGTTTGTAATCTTATAAGAATATGCATTCGTTCTCAAGCACCATCCCACTGTTAAAAATAAGACCATGACTGCACTGAGTTAAGTCATGGTCATACTTCTTACCATGCGTGTTGATGTGTAGATTCAAAAGGTATTCAAGATCATCCTTTGTGTCATTATGCTGGAAATATTTACACTGCCCTTTCAAGATATTCAACATGAACTAGAATGATTTTTTAGCAAAAAATGGCTCTCTTGAAATAATTCAAAACTTTGCATCTCCAATTCATCAATGCATAGTTTCCACATTTGGGAGTTGCATGTTAGAGTTTAGCTCCACATTTTGGAAGAGAGAGAATAAATACATTAATGGAGTACAGATTCTATTGATCAAGTCTTAAGCGAGATGGATGTGAATGCACCTTATAGGAATAGGCTGAAAAGAGGCAAGTACAATGTTTGGCTTTACACTCCTTAGCATATTTTGTGCATAACTTGGGAAGACCTAAACATGATTTTTTTTTGTTAGATCTTCGTCTTACATTCAAGAGACACAACACTGTCTTTGTTGTAGTAGACTGATAATCAAAAATGATGGTTCAACCCCTGCAGCAAGATGACACTTCACATATTGTCAAACTCTTCTTTAATGAAATATTCAGGATATCAAATTCAAGAATTAAATTTTGAAGACAAAAGAATTAAGAAGCTTCAATTGTCCACAATCGATTATCCTCAGACTAATGGTTAGACTGGGATTGTCAAATGGAGCTTAGAAAACTGATTGAAATGCTTTATGGAAGAGCACTCTTCAAGATGGGATCAATTCTTCTTATTGCGGAATTCACGATAATAGAAATGTAAATTGGTCAGTAGGCATCAGTAGTCTTGAAGTAGTCATGATTATCAACCAGACAACCTACAGATTTTGTCACCCTAATTTTCAAATAGGTCCAATAAGTTTTTTGTGTCATTTGCAAGAATATGCACGAATTACATCCAACCATTTGTCATAAATTGAATATTTTTCATAAGGTTTCTTAAGTTTCTATGGATTTAGGCATCACCAACAATTTTAAGAAGGAAGGTATGGTTTTGATTCGCCTTTAACCATCTTCACTTCTTTGGAATCTCTTAAAAAATAGGCTGCTCATAAGGTTAGGCATTATCAAGTTTTAAAAGGATTGAAAATAATGCATGTGAACATGAGACGTCAATGGACATAAGGATTAGCCATGTGTTGAATGCTTCTGATATGACTATTTATCATGACCCCATTCAGATTCCTTGGACTCAAGCTAGTTATAACCCCTCTTGTAATGACCCGGCATTTACCATCGTAATACTTTTGCCACTGCAATTCTCATTTCCACCATTATCATCACCACCTAGTCTTATATCATCTTCATAAGTACCAACTTCATTTGGCACCTCTTTTTAGCCTAAACTTAAGGAGACCATTGATGGTCAAATAGTTTCCATCGTTAATGGGGGACTTGACACCTCATCAAGTGAAGGGATTTCCACATTCCAATAGCTTTGAATCTTTTGAAGGCTTATAGCTTCACTCGATGAAATCAAGTTCTTCCACGCTAGGAAGAAATGATGTGAACATGCGAATATCCAGGGACTATAATCGATGTCATCGTCTAGCCATCAAGATCAATGGGCTTTATGAATAATATTTATCCTTGTGATTATCATCCAAATGTGATTTATTGTAAATGTGAACAATAACCATCAGTGCAGTCGCTGTTCATGGTGAATAACATCTTCAAGGATGAATCTATTTGGCATGTGCAGGTGGATGGTTTTTTCGGACAGAAATGTAAGTTTTCTCCATATTTGGTGCTAGTCATGAAGGTGTCCAAAAAGCACAAGAATTCTGTAAAATCTCAATCACATTTCATAGGTATATCAATTTTCTTTTACTCCTTCCCACTCTCTTATTATATTAATGTTTTTTGGCTTTAAAATTGTATGGATGTACGTATGAATATTCTTATATCCAAAAGCATGTCAGAATTTTTATTCTAAAGTGTTTATACTTATCATGGTTAAGTAGGTAGGTTGATTTTATAAAATAATGCCTATTAAAATCAAATTCTAATTTGGTTTTTCTTATTTACAT